AGTCCTTCTAGAAGATTTTAACGGACACTGCACTAACTGGTGTCCTACAAGCCCTTCGACATCGGAAGGCGATCATCTGTTCGATTTCGTGTTACATAACAATTTTTTTTTTCAAGATATTATATTCGAACAAGTAAACAGTTTTGTGCCGCATAAATCTGTTCCAACAAAAGGCAGAGATAAAATCTGATTTGATGATTCTCTAAGGAAATTGTTCAATAAAAAAGATAATGCATTCAAACAACTTAAAAGTCTTCAAGGTAGTAGCATGGCGACAAAAAATAATCATCGGAACATCCGTTGAGGACTAGTGAGAATACCTAACAGGGATGGGTTTAGAAAGAGGGTGCAATGTACTGGGTTCATAAATCAAACTAAGCCCAACTTGGTTTTTTGTTTTAAGATGCCTGAGACTACAGCGACACTCGTAAAACTTGAGCGGAACTCTTAGATTCTTTAAGAAGTCGGGAGTCTCAGAAGCCCCTCACACACTTCTTTTGTCTCTTGATTGTGTTTGTTAGCAGAGCCTGTACTGGGGTCCTTAAACCGGACAGTCAAAACGATCGGTAGGACGTGTTTGTTTACGTGTAGTCAAATGGTTATTTTTATGCGACTTTTGACGAAAAATCAATGCAGGGGTCATTTAGTGCACCAAACTCTCGTGCATGTGATATGTAATTTAATATACTCTTTGATATCAGAAGAAATAGCATAAAAGGATAACGATTTCGAAAGTCTACTTGAACTTGTTTTTTTTTCGTAACTTAGCATCCCAGATCATTCGCACATTACAGATATTTATTGCCTTAGATAACTGAAAATAAATTGTAACAATCCAAACGGAATGCTGGCAGATCTAAGTAAAGAAAAACTTTTTTCGTAAATTGATCGAAACTTTGGTAAACTAGCTAGTTTTCAACGCTCTTGCAGTTGAGTAGTTTGAAGTGTTACTCAGCGTACGATGAAATGCTGAACGATCTGTCACTCAGTAGCCTAAATATCGACAGAGGTGTACGTGTAAAATAGGTCTCCGTTTAATTCTGAGTGTTGTTTTCCGACAAATTGCTTGAACCTTTTGAATCTAGCACACAAGAGCCTTGGAGCTCCGAAATCATTTATGTTTTCATAGAAGTAGAAACCTTGCTATTTTCAGAAAGTAACTGTGAAACTTTTCTGTATTAAGTACGAAACCTCTTCGGTTCTGTAACTTTTTTTAGAGTGTATGGACGTCTTGGACTGTCTTTGTAAAAAAAAGATATTTCTTGGCGTTATCAGTCTCCGTCGGAAGTTGTAGATAAAATGAAACAATTGATTGCAACTATTCAACAAAACTATACGAAAATTATTAAAATTATCTTAATTATTGTTCCATCACGTTTGTACAAGCCATCGATGAATAAAATCAAAACTTCTAATAATTTATTAGTTGAGACGTTTTCGTATAATCAAAGTGTTAATGTTTTTGGTATTTAACAAAAAACTTATTAATATTTGATAAACTCCATCCGAATGCAAAAGGTATTGAACTTATAATATCAAAATTGAAGGAACTCGTTTAGGACTGAGGCATTCTCCCTCATCTTAGTTTTTCGTTTTTCTTTTCCGCAATTGTCAACGGTGACGTTCCGTTAAGTGTAAAGTGTCACAATTTTGAAGGACTTAGAGGGAATGTGGACGCATTAAGAGCTTTTGTTGCTGAACATTCATCTCAGGTTTTGCTTTTGTAAGAAACGTTTCTGACGGATGTGATTGACGACACCGAGTTGAGTGTGACAGGTTATTGTTTAGAGAGATAGAGAAAAACTAAGTTATTTCAATGCTAAAGGAGGACTTGCCATTTATATTTCTGATTCTTTGTGCTTTACTTTCGTTGCATATAATGATGATATCGAGTGCATTCTCCTACCTTTGAGTGTAATCTCCGCGTCCCTTTTTTTTTGGCTTGCTGTTATCGAAAACCTAAGGCGAACGCTGATTACTTTGACAAACTTTCTGAGTTTCTAATTAAAAATGTATCATGTCCAAATTCTCAACTAATTCTAGCTAGAGACTTTAATTCGGATCACAAATCAGACTTTGTCCATTTTCGTTCTCTAAATGAGGTCGTATCACTGTTTCATTTAGTTCAGTCTGTTTCTACTTCTACTACCGCTGGAGGGTCTCTTTTATGTAACGTGTATTCTTAGTGTCTTTATGGATCCTACCATCGGTTTCTTTATTTGACGCATTAGAAAAATCTTACCACGGTGTATTACTATGTAAATTTCCATCTATCACAATCTCATCTGCAGGAGTAAGATTAATCCATCCCAGTCGAATAAAGTAAAGCTTAAATTTCTTAAAAATAAGACGATTAGTGAGTTGAGAAAGAGTAAGCGTGCATATTTCGAGAAATTGGCGAGGAAATGTACTAGTTCATAAGATTTCTGGAAGGGTATAAATTGTGCTAAGGACGGCAGCTCAGATTTACCAGCTATGGTGTCTTTGGAACGCAAGTCGGCTAAAGACGATGTATCAAAAGCCAAGCTTTTTAACGAATTCTTTTCAAAATATTTTTCTTCAAAAGCTGGCCCATGTTTCAAACCAAAAACATTAATGAATGACATTTTTTGTTTAATTCCACCGTCGAAAGAGCAAATTTTTGAGGATGTAAACAGTCTAAGGCATAGCATCAGGATCATATAAGATATTTATTTTGTTTATCTATCGAGAAGGACGTTCATCCAGCTAAATGGAAACACGCGAAGTGGTACCTGTACATAAGGAAGATCCAAAAGCGCAAGTCGATAAATACTTACCTGTATCGCTGCTTTCTATTCTCAGTAAAATTCTTGAACGCTTTATCTACGATCAATTGTCTGCGTATTTGTTTTGATTTTGAACCTTAAATCTTATGTCATTAAATTATTCTAAATGTAATTGGATCTATTTCACTAATCGCTCGTCTCCTATTGCCGATAAACTATCCTTTTCAGTTAATTCCACAGCAATCAAACGTGATGAGACTGTTGTTCTTCTTGAAATAAGATTATCGCATGATTTAAGTTGGGAAGCGCATGTCAGTGATATAGGTTTAGCTTGTAGAAGACGACTGGGTGTGGTGTACAGGGTAGCTCCAAGGAGGCTCTCCATTTCCAGTTAGTTCAATAAAGACCGTTTAAAATTATATAAGTTGTGCATTTTGAGTAAGTTAGATTACTGTAGTGTGGTGTATGACAGTTATCGGCATAGCCCTGTGTTAGATAAGATTGCGACGCTAGCAGCAAGACTTATCTGTAGAGAGTTTAACGATTCTGTAAGTGATTTAGTCGTTAAGTTAAAACTTCCTGATCTCATGTTAAGAAGGAAATATTTCCGATTACTTCATTTTTTTAGAATTAAAAATACTTTATCACCTCGCTCAATTTTCAACCACTTCTTATTCAACCATTGGACGACCGACACTCGGCTAGACTCAATTCTGACAGGCACAATGCTCATCAGGTTAATACTATTACTGTCAGTAAAGCTCCTGTTGCATCCTCATTTTTCTATAGAACTTAGATTGAGTGTCCTACCTTACCTGAAAATGTTGTTTCATGTCGTACTCTAACTCATTTTACGCACATACTAAATAGACCACAGATGAAGACTGACGCATCTGTCGACCAGTGAATGTAATTAGAATACGAAGAAAGAGACGGAAGCATCTTATTCATAAGTTGAAAAACGTAGCTTGTTCACAATTTTATCTTGAGGTTTTTTCTCAGAATTTCATCTAAAAAACTTTGTCATTTAAAAGCCTTTCTCGCTTATTATATCGTGTTTTGCATTATTAAAAGTATTCATTTGTTCTGTTTTTTGGCTTCTCAGGAATCTTTCCCAAACCATCGCTTCGTGTGAATTTCTAGAAAAAAGACCGTAGAAAATGTCACAGTAGGTACTAAAACGTTTTTGTAGCGAGTGAAATGAAGAAGAACTTTTTTTCCATTACGTTGCTGTTACTGTTAGAGTTCACCGGAAAATAAGATAATTTTATCTAAGTTTGTAACATATTTATTGTAACATGAAAGTGTTTCATGAACAAAAGTTTATAACATTAAATTCTATTTCCTGCTTGTTTTTAGCTGGACCAGATAAGGAAGTACCGGAGGAAACCGTAGTTTATTGCTCATGAACAAATATGCAAATTTGACAGTGAAAAATTTTCTTATCTGCAATTGATATATAGCAGACTGAAGAAAACTTTATTGTTCTTTAAGCGCGGATTATCACATAGGAAACAGTTAACAGTTTCAGAACTACCTGTGAGTGAATGACAATGACTTTTGATTATGAGTCAGATCAGAAGGCTTTGAATGTACCATCTGAACATTGTTTGCTTCACTTGATTATTCACATAATGCATATTTACAATATTCTGAACATTGATAATTCGATGTTGAACTGTTCCGTTCGCTTTTTATACTAAGGTTGTTTTCTTATATGAAAGTTTCAAGTTTACTCTCATTTTTAAAAGTGTAAATATCTTGCCAAACTTTACGAGTCATTGCATTACAAAACTATACACTTACATTATGATTATAGAAACAGAGGGTCAAACTTTAATGTACAAATCATATTTGATCTCACGCGTAGGTTAGAAATTGCATTATTCGGCGAATAAAACAAACATTTTCCTAGATCAAATTCGCACATTTATAAATCTGTAAAAAATATAATAAGCGGACCAGATTGAGCCTTTTCGTTTATCCACTATCTTAATCACCGATATCATTTACTTCAACACGGACGATTATGATCTGTGTAGGCAAGTGAAACAGCAATGTCATCACTCATTTTCGGATTACTTCAGCACGATAGATGTGATAACAGCAGCTAACTTAATTTTCATATTTTAACTCTTATTGAGTATTCAAAGCTTGTTAATTTTTCGACAGATCTATAAATATACAAATCTGATCTAGGAAAGTGTTTATTTTATTCCCCAAAGAATGCAATTTCTAATCTAGCAGCAAACAATGTTCAGATGGTACATTCAAAGCCTTCTGATCTGACTCATAATCAAAAGTCATTGTCATTCACTCACAGGTAGTTCTGAAACTGTTAACTGTTTCCTATGTGATAATCCGCGCTTAAAGAACAATAAAGTTTTCTTCAGTCTGCTATATATCAATTGCAGATAAGAAAATTTTTCACTGTCAAATTTGCATATTTGTTCATGAGCAATAAACTACGGTTTCCTCCGGTACTTCCTTATCTGGTCCAGCTAAAAACAAGCAGGAAATAGAATTTAATGTTATAAACTTTTGTTCATGAAACACTTTCATGTTACAATAAATATGTTACAAACTTAGATAAAATTATCTTATTTTCCGGTGAACTCTAACAGTAACAGCAACGTAATGGAAAAAAAGTTCTTCTTCATTTCATTTCATTTAACAACAGTGAGATGTTGTATCTTAAACTATTTTTCATTTGTCTCTATTTGTCATCTAGTAATTGTTCATATCATTTTTATTACAATATACAAAATGAACAATATGATTGTATTTATTATGCGTTAATAAGAACTGCGTTCGATACGGTACCTATATTCCATTATGATTATGAAAGAATAACAATTGCACCTTATTGTATTTCAACGCCTTCATCTACAATAAATTCAAACTATACTCAGCAATATACATTTGAAGAACTGAAACAAAAGAATGTGACACCAATTGATTTATATAATTGGTACTCACCATTGAATATTATTGAAAAATATCATCGATATCTTCTTCAAACAATTCCGAATAATTTAACAACCACTGAAAATATTTATCATAATTGTACACATCCATGGTTTGGAAGATATTGCGAATATAAACTGAATGGTGAAATGCAGTTTTTTCCGATGTTGGTTAGCGATCGATATGACATGAAAGAAAAACCAACAAATGTTTTATCAGTTACAAACGGAACATGTTACATTCAATGTCAAGGTCGTCATACATGTTTAGATTGGCGTGAGATATGCGACGGTATGTACATACACAGAATATTGTGCAATAAAACATCTCAGTGGATATCGTTGTTAATGTTTACTAAATAAAGTGGGTTTTGGGCACATAATTGTGCTAAAATATTTTACGATCCACGTCAAATGCATGCTTGCTGGGCCGAAAGAGGGTCAACTTTCAACTCAAGCAACAGAAACTTTTCTACAACTAGGTTATGATAGATATAACTAGGATAATCTAGCATGACTTAACCAGTTGTTTCTACGTACACTCTAAAAAGAGATGTGCTTCAGTTTTCAAACAACTGGAAATCAATGGGAATTGTTCTTCATTTGTCCCAAATGGAGAACTCAAATTTCATTCTTCAACTCTCAAGAAGTCAAAATTTGTTCTTCAACTTTTGAAAAACTGATTTGTTTCCTTCAATTATTCTCTGGAATCAGTTTTTCAAAAGGTGAGGAACAAATTTTGACTTCTTGAGACTTGAAGAACAAAATTATTATAGAATTATAAAGAACAAAAGGTCTCTCTTACAACTCGTTTGAAAAATCGTAACATGAAACTGTTTCATGAACAAAAGTTTGTAACATTAAAGTTTCTATTTCCTGCTTGTTTTTTAGCTGGACCAGATAAGGAAGTACCGGAGGAAACCGTAGTTTATTGCTCATGAAACAAATATGCAAATTTGACAGTGAAAAATTTTCTTATCTGCAATTGATATATAGCAGACTGAAGAAAACTTTATTGTTCTTTAAGCGTGGATTATCACATAGGAAACAGTTAACAGTTTCAGAACTACCTGTGAGTGAATGACAATGACTTTTGATTATGAGTCAGATCAGAAGGCTTTGAATGTACCATCTGAACATTGTTTGCTTCACTTGATTATTCACATAATGCATATTTACAATATTCTGAACATTGATAATTCGATGTTGAACTGTTCCGTTCGCTTTTTATACTAAGGTTGTTTTCTTATATGAAAGTTTCAAGTTTACTCTCATTTTTAAAAGTGTAAATATCTTGCCAAACTTTACGAGTCATCGCATTACAAAACTATACACTTACATTATGATTATAGAAACAGAGGGCCAAATTTTGTTCTTCAACTTTTGAAAAACTGATTTGTTTCGTTCAATTATTCTAAGAAATCAGTTTTTCAAAAGTTGAAGAACAAATTTTGAGTTCTTGAGGGTTGAAGAACGGAATTTAAGGTCTCCATCTGAGACAAATGAAGAACAATATTCCCATGGATTTCCAATTTTTTGAAAAGCTGAAAATCACGTTCTTTTAATAACATCTGCGTATTTTTGCGTACAACATGGATATTGGTATTTTGAGAGAAAAGGAAGGTCACTGGTCTTATCAACAGAGATTCCAGTGAACTTTGTGTATATTATCTTTACTGAAGTCTGTAAATTGAAGTATTCATTCATAGTTTTACGGTATGCTACAGTGGACAATTTTAGAAATTCAGTTTCTTTCCGTTTTAGAGCTATCTTCGTGCTCAGCATTAAAAACTGCATCAGATAACCTGTGCTTAACATCTTAGAAAAAGTTTTTTTAAGTATAATCACGTCGGTATCATTACGGCGTAGCGAGCTAACGGTCCACCTTCGGATGCGAAGGTTCGAATTTTTGTTTTAACTTGAGCAATGCTTAAAAATATATCATTAGACGCAGGTTTTTTTGCGTTGATTACGAATCTGCACTCAAAAACAAATTAAAGTTAAATTTTCATAGCGAAAATTTAAATTTAAAAAGTTTTAAATTTTAAATTCGATTTCCTGATCTAGATATTTTTCCAGAAATTCCGAAAACTATACCATCGGACAGAAAATCGAATTCTCTACAAAATGCCTCATTTGTGTTCATGTTTGAATGGGAAAATATTTTTTTGATTTTCTGAAAAGCGTTTTGGCGCTTATTTTGTGAGCAGTTTTATGCCAATTTAATCTAACTTTGAAAATTTATTTTTGGCTGCATTGAGATGAAGGACACCTCAAACTATCTATTTATATGCAAATCAGAGCTTGTTAAGTAGTTCTGTGACAGAAAAAATATATACCAAAGCATCTGCAAAGAAGAGCAAAAAACGGTGAAATTCCGTAACGGTCGCTTTTATTCGATTTCCTCTGCCAGAGAACTAATTCAAGTAAAAGTCAGTAGTGATTCTGAATAGCCCAAACTGTGAGCTTTAATTTGATATCTAAGCAGTCATTTTAAAATTAGTTTTAGGGTGAATAATTTACATTTTACTGAATACGCCGAAAAACACTTCCATTTTTTGAAATTTCGTAACGGCCTCTATTTTGACTATAACTTTTGATCCGCTTGTTCAATCAAGCTCAAATTATTTTTGATAGTAGCACCTCCTAATATCCATCATTGGTATAAATTTCACTGATAAACGTTGCTTCTTTGCCGAGATAAGGGGTACAGAAGACGAAAAAATGAAATTCCGTAACATTTGGCCAAGCCGATTAGTCGTTATTAAGGTATTGCAGATACTAGAAGATTTGTGTAAAATTTGAACTCTATTGTAGGACACAGTGGGAAACCTGTCATACAGAAGTGTTCATTTCAAGAATTAGCATAAGGAGTACTCAGTTTTTGTCCGAACCAACGTGAAAATGTCGAAATCGGTACGGTGGTATTATATTATCGAATAATGATAAGAAGCAGGTGCCGAGTAGCGATCGAAAGACGGTCGTCGCTTTTTAAAAGAGCGTAAGAATTCCATCAACCGGTTAGTGAATAGAATGAGTGATGGATTTCCAAATGTGAAATCGGCTGAATGCGATTCTCCTAATTCATCGTATAGTTTAAATAATCAACCATTTAATTATATCATTCGTCTGTAAATAAATGCTGTGTTGACTTTTAGATGTCATTGGGCTCGTATTTGACCTATAAAGGATTGGGCCAATGATATATAGAGTTTGTTTATTCAGAATATTGTAGAGCTTTTCGAGAGCTATTTTTCTATACTAAAGGCTAGTTGCATCCTCTCTTATTTATGGGCTAAAATGATCGCTGAGGGATGATCACTAAATAGGGGATGTTCGAAAATAAATGATTTCTCCTAAAATATACAGTGTGTGGCTATGGTCCATGTACTAATTTGTTCAATTTTTCATTGGCTATTTTTCTATAGCAAGCTTTACCATAATTTCATATTAGATTTTGAACAAAATCGTTTTTGTTAAGCATCGATATGCTTGAACTTGAACTTGATTTTATTTTACAAACAAAGCTGACTTTACAAAGAACGAGCTGCTGTAGGAAAGCAGAAAAGGTAAAACATACTTATACACACTGCCACCTGGAGTAACAACACCACAAGAGAGAAAGAATACACGCTTATATCTATAGATTCACTCTTAAAATCTGATCATAACTAAGTCGAAAAAGCAGCGGGCCCCCTCCTTTGCAAACTTCATTCTCTTTGTTTGTTGACGATCGATGACGGCTGGTTTAATGATGGTCGTGAAGGCCGTACATTTTGGCAGTTTTTCTTGTTGATACTCTCTTTTCGTTTCATGTTAAAATTTGATGGTTTTTCCATGGAAATGGTATTTTTGAAACTTAGATATTCGAAATTAGTTTTTTAGTCGAGATTTTCCACCTTAATATTTCACGCTTTCCAACACTCTAGTTAAACTTCGTTCACCATGAAACTTCTACCGCTTGTTTCTGTTCTCTTTATTTGTTTTTCTTCCTTTCTGACCTCTTCTTTCGTGCGCATATACAAATAGATATAAGCAAAAAACGCAGAAAAGAACAACTTTTATGTTTTTATCCAAAAGGAAGACTGCCTTCACCATGAAATTAGTGTATATTTTGGCTGCTTCTGGGTTTAAGAAGTTAAGAAATTTGAAGCTACCATTTTCCAGTTTTTCTGGCAGTTTAAAGTACAGAAATTGTACGGTATGCCAAGCTAATTTTAAAAAAAAGGTGTTTGTGCAATAGTCTGAATGAAAAGAAATAGTAACACCCTCATACGGTGTGGACGGAGTTGTGTTGCTTGTCGTGCCTTAACTCTGTCTTTCTCGAAGGAAAACCTGACGAGACCCTTGAGAAAGGTCGAAACCGATCGTGGTATCTTCTTTTGATTCTTTCAGAAATGAATTCTGTGTAAGTCTAGTAACTACAAAGCGGTTGTAAAATTAACTAAATATAACTGAATGAAAAGGAATAAATTTTTCATTTTCGCCGAATGGTGTTCTTTGAAGAGAAAAATTGTTCTGTATGTATATTGTGGGCTCATACAAGAAAGAATCAAAATTTTAAATGTATGCTATCAGCTATACTTAGTGTACATATTCTGTATAGATAATTGAGTAACAGCTGTGATGCCTTACTTAGACACCTCTTAGACTGCAAGAAGTCACTAGCCACTAGTCACTATCAAAACATATGTGCCTTTAGGGCAACGGTTAGGCATGTAATCTCCTTTTAAGTAATTAGTAAGTCACCACGAGTTACTTCCAACACCTTTTCATTAGGCGATCTGTCTTTTAATGTTCCACTAATAATAATATTCGTAAACAGCACATCTTGAATGCATGAAACCTTCTTTCCTCGACCAAGGCTAATGCCCAGTTCTCATTACCACAGAGAAGCATCGGCAGTACAAGCTCGGAAGATTCTCAATTTAGCTCCTATCGGAACGCTTTTCTACATCGTGTGTTCAATACCCTATAATTTTATGCAGGATGCTGAATACTGTTGACGCCCTTCGACCCCTGTTTCTACTTCATCGTCTGATTCGTTCATAATCCAGCTAGATATGCGACCCTGTCAACTTTTCGATTCAGTCATTTCTGGCAAAGAGTTGAACGGTACATCATCAAGTTCTTCGTTAATTGTTATTTTCTTGTTAGGCATTTCTTTTACACGCCTTATAGATGTTCTTTACGCTCATGGTCAATTCACATTCGTATGTAACTTTGTCAAAGGTGTAGCAAACACCTCGAGATCTTGAGCATTGTCGTATGATGACTCAGCCATAATTCAACTGAGGACAAAATATATTAGCGTGATATTATTTGATATTCCATAGGCTTCGTAGTATAAAGATTTGTCTTTGATATTTTTTTAAGAAAATTCATTCGAAACGATGCCAGTTTCGTTCCATTAACGCTGGACCACGCTTGTTTTTCCAACACTCGACTTTTTATATTACCGTAAATAGTTTTCATTTATTACCTTCCATAGATTTGTAGTTGTGAAAGAGTGGTATAGTTTTGCAGTTTCAAAAGCACTGGCTTGTCTATCTATGCTTTAAAAATTAGAAAATACAGAGAGTCGAAATACTGTGGGCTTATGAACACTCATAGGAGAAACAGATTTTCCCTCTTTCTGCAATAGATTCGTTCGCGCTAAATTTGTTTAGTTAAACATACAACATCTGATCCACTGACATCGAGAATAGAGCTTTCTACCTGATTGGACAAACTGTCGTTGGGAAATTGTCATTCCCTGAATAGAGGCAAAGAAGATGCTTCGTGTCTACCGTAGAAAAATAAGTACCTCTACACTGCAGCTAAGTGTCATTTTACCTTGTGACGCTCTTTCACATGGAGTAACTCAAGCGGAAAAAAAAATCGTAAAGCGGACGCTTGCAGCTACCTGACCCAGTTTTTAACCCATCAAAGCTAGCTTAAGTGAGTTGAAGCTAGCCGATGTGTTTGAATTCGACGCTAATCGCCCAATTAAGCGCCCACTGGATCGGCCGCTTGCAGCTAGCAAGTGGGCACTTGCTCGGCGCAGCTAGCTATTTGACCCAAAAAATCTACGATTAAGCGGGCCCTTGAGCTATTTAATAAGCTAGGTTTCCTTGCCTACTTTTTTCTGCCTCGGAAGACCCTTTATGCACTGTCACTTTTGCTCTAATACACTCCAAGAAAAAATTGTGAAATCTGGTCAAAACGGACCCCTTCGCGCTATTAGACAATATTGCTTGCTTGACAAATCTTGTCAAAACAAGAGATATTGCCCGATAGGAACAGACGGCGTGACAACGCGCGATCAATCGATTCCCGCTTTGAGTACACTTTAGTTATACAACCCTAAAATAACATTACGCACAAACTCTTTAGTCTCCGATTAACGCTTGTGCAGTAATACTTATTTGTTGAGTTTTATTTACAGTCATTTCTCGATGGCACAACTAAATGTATCACTCGTTTATCAGATGGTCATGCTGATTGTTCTAATGAAGAAGATGAACTTGATTTACACACATGCTCAATGAATTTACCGTATCGCTTCAAATGTGATCAAAATACAAAATGTATTCGACGAGAACTGTTGAAAGACGGAAAATATCAATGTGATGATTATACGGATGAAACATCAATAACTGAAGTGTGTTATAATTTTGCAACATATGAATGCGATGCATATCGTGGTAACAAAGAATTACCGTTATTATTTGAGCAAATATGCAAGGGTATAACCGAAATCATGCCATTCTTCTCAGCAGAGGAAGAAACCGATGAAACACATTGCCGGGAACAGCAGTGGTCATGCGATACACATTATACGCATTGTAATAAAGTATGGAATTGTGTTGATGGTAAAGATGAATTAGATTGTCCAAAACTATTAGCAGCACGACATTGTGAAGGAAAGGAACATTACTGTCTACCAGTGGACACAACAGCCATAACGCCAACATGTTTGCCATTAAAGAAAGTAAATGATGGATATATCGATTGCTTAGGGTCGATCGATGAACGAGAGTTTTGTCGCAGACATTATCCTGCAAATCCAACAATGAGGTATCGATGCTTAGATTCCGACAAATGTATTAGCCCTGGAGATTTATGTAATTGTCGAGAGGATTGTCCTCAAGGCGACGATGAACGTCGCGTGTGTCCATGGTTAAATTCAACAAATTGTAAATCTGGACAGTATTTATGTTCCGATGGTGAATACAAATCACACGTTATACGTTGCGATGCGACAGAAGATTGTCGGTCGCATGAGGATGATAGATTTTGCGATCTAATTGATAAATCAATCATTGTGCCTTTCGATCTGGGCCATAGATTCGGTCATTTATTTGATGATTATCCATCAAGAGAAAGTAAGTATATATTTAATGATGCACCCTCTGATTACACACGTTTCATTTTTAACGTTTGTTTGTTATTAAGTTCGTTCAATTACGCAGAAATTTGACCAGGACGAGCAAAACAATGATTATGTGGCATGGTATTGCAATCGTGGTGTTTTGATACATGGAAGAGAAGAGAAAAACGACACATGTTTATGTCCACCATCGTACTATGGAGATCGCTGTCAATATCAACGTAAACGATTGTCTGTGGTATTACAGATACAAAAACTAACAGCCTTTGATATTAATCGCACATTCAAATTGTTAGTATATCTCTATGATAATAAAAATGATAAAATTGTGTCACATGAACAAATTGTATATCTATCCCTAACATTATGTCTACCAAAATACACATTTAATTTATTATATCCTATTGGCGAAACACATCGAAATTATTCAGTTTACATACATGTCTTCACTATTGAGGAAGATTACATTGTATATAATAAACTATCATGGTATTTTGATGTTAAATATCAGTTCTTACCTGTTAATCGCCTTGCCAAACGATTGATTCTTACTGATTCAGACAAAAGTACAACAGGAATATCATGTGACAGCTATTGTTTAAATAATGGATTATGTCTACCGTTTGTTAATGATGAACGTAAGTTCTATTGTCAATGCCAGCCTGGTTGGACCGGTCATCGATGTCATCTACCTCAAAGATGTAATTGCTCACAAGGCTCATTATGTATTGATCAAGCAATATGCATATGTCCATTGAATAGAATCGGTCAGTATTGTCTTGTACCATTCAATCCATGTCGTCATCATCATTGTGAGAATAATGGCACATGCCAGCCGATCGATGAACGTTATACAAACACACATGAACCACTTAGCACCTTAAAACACTATCACTGTCGATGTACAAATGAGTATACTGGACACTACTGCGACGGCAAGAAAGCTCAACTTGATATTCATTTTGATAACAATATTAATGTAGAAACATCTGATATTTTGATACATACCATTGAACCATATGCAGATGATCAACCACAACAGTCAGTTTATTTTCAACGCATGTATATCTACGAACGACAGCTAAAATTTTACTATGAAAAAAAATTTTTACCCGCGCTTATTTTTGTTCAGTTATATGATAATCAACAAAAACCGAACTATTATCTTGTTCTATTAAAAACAAAGCAAACACCCCGAAAAAGAAACGAGACAACGAAGGTTCGAGCCAATTATCGTTGTCCATCGATAGTGGAATTATTCAATCATACAGTTGTTGAATATGAACAGCTACAACGTATCAAATTCTACCAACAACCGTGTCGTAAAAAACAAGTGAAGTGCTTTTACGAGCAGAAAATGATGTGTGTATGTGATAAGCAGAATGATGTTGATTGTTTCGAATTTAAAACTCAGTTATTTGGTTGTGGACCGAAAGCGGAAGACTATTGTAATAATAATGGTCTGTGTATTCAAAATGATGAATTATGCCCAAAGCAAACAGTCTGTTTATGTAACAATTGTTTCTATGGTAGTCAATGTCAACATTCAACATCGGGTTATGCTGTATCATTAGATTCCATTATCGGTTCGTATATTATACTAAATACACCACTGAAGCATCAACCATCATACATTAAATTATCTTTGATACTATTAACACTCTTACTCACTGTTGGTTTAATTTCGAACTCATTATCAATCTTAACCTTTTCCTTGAAATCTAAAACTCGTGATGTCGGTTGTGGCTTCTATTTATTATTCTCATCTCTCTTCGGACTATTGACGCTATTATTCATTTTGATTAAATTTATTTATTTATTAACATTATCATCAAATCATCTTGGATGTACACTTATCGAATATTTCTTAAAATCATTACCGACAATAAGCGATTGGCTAAATGCTTGTGTAGCAGTGGACCGTTATACTACAATCCTGTATAAATTAAAATTTAACAAAAAATTAAGTATAAAATGTTCAAAATATATGGTTTCTCTAGTTACATGTTTGGTATTGATAACACTTGTACATGAACCTATTTATCGTCAAATCAAAATTGATACATATGACCAGCGCTCATGGTGCGTATTAAACATAAATAAACAACAACAGTGGCTCATCAGGTACAATTCAACAATAAATATTCTACATTTCATCTTACCACTTATAATTAACATTTTATCGGCTATTCTAATTATTCTACATGCATTACGTTCAAAATTATCTTCAACGACATTATCAAGAACACAAGTTCTTATTAAACATCGACATATTCTAATTGGTCCATGTGCTCTTATTATTCTAACATTACCACGTTTAATTCTTAATTTTGTATTAGTTTGCACAAAACTAGATCGTCGGCCATTGCCCAATCTTATCGCCTACTTCATATCGTATCTACCGTCAATATCAATTTTATTTGGGTTTATTCTACCATCGCCAACATACAGTCAAGAGTTTTTTGATCTTATAAATAAATGGTTTATACCGACATATTTTAGACGACAGGCATCAACACAGACTAAATCCAATCAATTAAGAAATAAATAATATCGTATGCACTGGACTCAATATCTGCTGCTTTTGTGTATATATGTATTGTGCGCTTGAAAATATGTCTGCTTTCATGTAATACAATCAAAACATGTCAGAGATGTTGTTTTTTCTGCTGCTGTATATGCAGAAAAAAGCATTATATTATAATTGTATCAACGTTTGCTTATTGTTTAAGAATAAGTTTTTTAGTATAACCACAGTAAAAATAAAAAAAGAAAGTCGTACTTACAGAGAGTTGAATCTATCATATTTCACATGTGTGCAAGATTTAGAGTAGACCATTTTTGGAGTTGTAATAATAATACCAAAAATTCGTTATTCTTCGATGGATTTCGAATAACTTACAAAGAATTGTTTATACCAAGAAAGGAACGGTGTGAAACAGGACAAGTGTTGCACTCATTATGCGGTATAACACCGGATAATGAGGAACTGATGTGCAAATACAGATACCTTTATCAAGTTCAATATCAAAAAGACACAAGCTTATGCCAAAAAGTACAACAAAAGAAGTTTCATATAGCGTCCACCTAGAGATTTTCCGCATTACCAAAAAAAAGATGACAATAATTAGATGGAACAATGAAGAATAAAAAGTTAACAAGTTGCATTTAGCCATAAACGGACTGTTCTAGTCCAGTGAGAAAGAACTGAGAGACTTGACGATTTTGCAACTGTCTGAGGAAGATCATTCCAATCATTTTAGTGTTTTCACATAAAATGATTCAGCTAATACAGGAGTTTTACATAAAGATACAACAAAGTGTATTGAATTTCTGCGGGAAGAGTGAGGTAGTACATGATTTTCCAGAAATATTTGAGTCGTTTTATTTCTCCTGTCCGATAATTTCTCAAATTTTATTTTGTCATCTACGCAAGAGAAAGAGAAGGTGAAATCACTTGTAATGATTCCAGAAGCTAACCGCTGCACCGCGTTCAAAGGCTCAAGACGGGATTTGTACACACTATTGAAGACAGTCGAGCCATGTAAAATTTGTTTCAAGTACCATACTTTTTTTACAAACGCCTTTTACCGTTGAATAGACGAGATGATTAGAAGTCTGTTTCCTTTATACTATGACAAACAAACGGAATATGAGAGGGGTGTGAATCCTCTGTCATCCGCTGCTGCAGTAACGAGCAGTCATAATGGCCGCTGATTTGTGAAAATGCAGTGACTAAGAAACTTTGCTTTTCCGCCAGTAAGAGCAGTAAATTAGGAAAAAAAAATAAAGGGGAAAATGTTTTATTTGATTTAAGTGGAAGCTTTATTACAGCAGGCTGCTGCACATCTTGCTTGTTCAATTGGAGAAAAAAATTTAGTCCAGTAAGGGCGTTTGCTCCTTTAAAGCGAATTTGGAAGTGTTGCCAAATATATCTATTTTGAAGAGCTGACTTTACTCATCTTGATTATAAACCTAACAGCAACGCCAAAGAGAGGGATTACTAAGTTACTGGTTGCATAAGAGAAAGATAAACTTGAACTCAGCAATGATCCCTAGTGAATGCACTTGAGCATAGGTAGCCGACTACTATTCATCGTCCTCACTACTCATCTTTACGTCTTCATCACTCTAAATATGTTCGCATTCCATCTTCTGTTGATGGTTTTTCTCCGCAAACGATACGTTCTTCTTTTTTTTATTCAACTATTGTTGACTTGAATAATCTCCCAAAGTCAGTTATTAGTCATTTCTTCTTTAATGTCTGTCAAAACAGCTTTAGTTCAGTATCTCTTTCAGCGAAAAGTTTGTCAGTTAAGAATTTATATTTGTTCTTTTTTTGCTTATTTTTATAAAAACTTTTTACTACTTCTGGTTCTAACGTTAGTTGTCTTCTCTATTTTGTTATTTTTTTTTCTTACTCGTTTGGTGTTGTTGGCTTGAGTCATTGTTATCACAGGTCGATGACCTTTGATGACTCTCACTTTTCGTGAATAAAACAGTCTTAGTCTTACATACAGTCAAGAGGTTTTTGATCTTATAAATAAATGGTTTATACCGATATATTTTAGACGACAGGCATCAACACAGACTAAATCCAATCAATTAAGAAATAAATAATATCGTATGTAACAACACATGGCTTGTTTAATAAATGTGTTTTTTACAACAATAACTAACACTGCTCTACAATGGATACTAATATATCTGAGGTCATTCATAAATAATTTCTGTTTCGTCGGGAAACTCTCTCTCAGTCAAAAAACGGCTAAGGAGAGAGACACTACTAGAATTCAAGACGCGTAGGTGGTTTCTTTGCAGCATTGTGTTTTGATAAAAAATATGAGCTGAGGAACTATTTTTAAGAATGTGAACATATACTTATCAAATCTATCTTCTCTTCTGTTTTAATAAAAGTAAGGTTGTTTATTTACACTTGTTAACTGTTCAACAATCTAAACTATGAACAAGAAATATGTGGCAAATGCGGGTAACGTTGTTACAATAGGATAGTTCGATATCATTTGAGTCCCACATACACTGATAGAAAGAAGTTAGCAATGTCGACGATGTAAAGTGAGTGTTTAAATAGCAGACATCCTCAGAAATGGTTTATGACAAATCATACAGCTCAAAACAGAATGGGAAGCATAAAAATGTGGTTTGTTCTGATGTTCTAATTGAATGAAACTTTTTCTTTTGTTTAAGGTGTTGATGAGATGTCATGGTAGTCATTAATATTCAACGAACAAATGTATAGAGAAAACGATAGAAAGATGCATAGATTGATGTACACTATATGTTTATGTTAAGGAGAGTGATAAATCGCTGGTCCTGTAGAATGTCATGAAATAATTGAATAGAAATAATTGATATTGTTTACACTAAACTATATTTTGTACTCTATCATCCAAGGCTCCTACGCAATACAAGTAACTACATTGTTAGAATATCGCGTTAGACACAATTCAAATTCGACCAGGGATAAAAAAGCTGACTTATTCGTCATCTCGCTAAGCCATGTAATTAAGCAAAAAAATGCTTATTAGAGTTGTACTAATAAACTTGGAAATGATGAACAATTTCAGATTGATTCAAGTTTAAATTCTGTTTGACCTGATATTCTAGCAACGTAGTTACTTGTATTGCGTAGAAGCCTTGTATTATAGATAACTGTTTTGGTAACTTAATGGGCGAGAATTTGTTGCTGTTGATATGGTTTTAATTGTTGTCAAATTAGAATACATTAGTCGAAGTCTATTAGCATTATAAACAACAGCCAGATGAGTTTGATCATCCATTGCTAATCCTGTGGGATTCGATAGGGTAACAATGTCTGGCGTTTGATTTTTTATCATATTTAACTGCCACGTGAAATTAGAGCAACATGGAGAAGGCAATGATTTCAAGAGATAGAGAGTAGAATTTGAATTTATGACAATGGTAAAGAAGCGTGAAATATTTTGAAATAATTGACATGTTTTATTTGATAAAAGCACATTTAACGGAGAATAGTTTTGATTTAGACCGTAACAAATACAGTTATCAAGCGTCGTGTTACTTAGCCATACTGCTGTTGATGTTAAATTTCCATTAATAAGAAGACCCTGTTTTATATTAGGAATACTGACGGATAAAGATTTGGTTGCAAAAATGCATAAAAGAATAAATAAAAGATACATTTTCATCAAGTTTTGGAAGAAATATGAAATGAGAGAAGCAATTTCTTTTTTTTAATGATAAAAATGTTGTCAGTTTAAAGTAGTTCTCTTTATTCTACAGTCACTGTGACGATCATAGTTTTTTCATTAATTAATTAACTAAAAGAAGGTTATGTGTGAAGTAATAAGAAGTAGTCAAGTGTTGTCAAAAAAAGGGATGTGAAGCACAGAGATTGAGAGCACTAACCAAAATAAGTAGGAACAGTCGAATGACCTTCTTATCTCATTTGAAACGCTTCTCAGAATAGACGCCCGCTCTCAGAGGACGATATTACGAGATGCAAAAGATAGTTCCTAACAGATGAGCATAGAATAGAAAGCCATCCTTAGAATAAGACTACCTAGAAAAAAGATAATGCGTTGGGGGACAAAATAGAAGGTTATGGTCGTCTATTCTGCGAGTGAGTGAGAGGAGCGTAATGGTTCAGTTTTTGCTCCATGCGGGATATTTCTCTCTACGGATCTTCCATTATAGAATTCTGTATGTTCCTTTTTGGTTATTTCCTGATTAAATATTATCATGGGCGTAGAAATTATAAAGTTTATCCACCTGCTATGAACGATTATTCAGTGAATCTATTCTTTTCTGTTTATAATAGCATCACGTTCCATTGTATATCTTGTTAGTGTTCGACTTGGTCGTCTGGTTCAAAAACAAATACTTATAGACGTTTGCATCGTATTCTACTAGGTAGTTTTATTTTTTACGCTATAAAAGTCACATTTGTGCAAATGTTGTATTCTACCCAACAGCAGCCATTTGACTCCGAATAACTTCAAAATCAATGAAATAAACTAAGTGTCAGTTTAAGTGATGAAGTGGCACTTTTTTTTTTTTTTTTGACAGCATGTAATGGGAGAAAGCCCGATTTGCTGTATTTTTTTAATAAAAATTCAGCTGTTTAAAAAAGAAAAAAACAGGTGATGAAGTGTCACTTCAAATGAAGAAGTGTGTGCAGCAAAATTGTAAGTTATTTTCCCTTGGTTGAACCCTCCTCTGTCTTGATAATTTGCTTTTCTTCGTGTTCAGTACTCTCAAAAAGAAAAAGATGCCGTGCGGAACTTAAAAAGGGTTTCGAGAACTGAAACCATTGCTAAACCTTTTTTAGGTTCTGTACGGACAAGGTTTCGTACGATACCTTTTTTCCTGCTGTCAAAAAAGGTTTCGTATGAACTCGTAGAGGTTTTGTAAGGCTTCTATGTATAGATTTCATATAGTTCCTTTTTATTAGATTTTCCATTTAGCAAAGAAAGTTGAAACTTAAATGAGCAGTACATGTCCTTTTATATAAGAAACAAAGAAGATTCCAGATTCTATGTACATATCAAG